CTAGTCGAGCAAAGATGGGACGACATCCCCGAGAACCAACTACAACTGAAGGATGCACTGGTCTCGAAATTATCCAGTGACATGGAATGAAGTATCTATTAACCATCGATTACTATAATACAACCGGGGGAATAGAACAAGAAGCCCATAAAACAATAACCAACACATAAAAAATACCAAGCGATGTCCCATCACACATTATCCATCGTAACTCATTTATTCATGATAGTCCTCCTATATCAGACCCGTGACCTCCGCGTTCTCGTCCCTCTCCTTCGTCCACAGTAGCCGCAAGTGAGGCAGGTGATGATCACATCCAAGACGGTCACGACGCCGTTGATGATAGCTTTGCAGACGGCACCGATGGCATTAACGACGCCCATCAGACACGCGCCAATAGAGCGAAAGAACCCTTGGATCTAGAACCGTCAGACAAAGTTAACAAGACGAAGTTTGAACATACACAAGAAACAACAGCACCCATCTTGAACAATTTATAACTCAGTTGCAGTACTTCAAATAATAAATATTTTCAATCAATATAGTGAGGATAGTATCTCGAACAGTAATAATTTCAATCTTAGTATCTCAACACCCTCAACAGAAAACACACCCTATATAAGTAACAGTATCACACCAATGATGTATTCCCAAACATCACAACTCCCAAACCTACAAATCCAAACAAAAAACCCAATGCCGTCATACTGACACGAAAAGCTAGTCTTCCTGGTTTCCCTCACCCTAAACGGCAACAATTACGAGGATCATGACAAGTGATCGGCGAACGAACTCGCGCCACTTGAGATAAGACCTACTTTTAATTTTAATTTCCGGGTGCGAATGGAAATAGAATCGACTACGTAGGTTAGTACCTACCTGCAAGTGAAATGAAATGTTGGTTCTTGTTTGCTTGCGTATGATGTCATTGGCTTAGGGTTGGGTGTATCAGATGACTGTCTTGCCCTACTGTTTCTATTCTAGGGTCTATTGGTTCTAATTAAGGTTCCTGTTGGGTACAGTGTATAAGATGTGTATAAGAATGTATGCCTGAGGCATAAGCTAGATGGTGGGTCCAATAACATTCAATTTTCAACTCAACCAAACCAATACAATAGACTACAACCCCCAATCCAACCCAAACAACCCATCAATGGACCCGGACTCCAGTCCGTACGACAAGCGGGCATGCTCACGCCGATCCGAGTGCGCGGCCGCAGAAAGAAACCCCCCGCCGCCCTTGCACTCACAAAACGCCCACCAGGCCGACGACTGAACCGCATAACAGAGGCGCGACGTTCGCGGAAACGGTCCAAACGGGCGAAACTCCACCATGAGCCGACGCCTCCCGCAAAACGGCGCACGCTGAGCCGGCTCGAAGCGCTCCCGGTCGAGCTTATCGAGAAGATCTTCCTGGCCTCGGTGAACGTGAATCTGCCGCGCGCGTCGACGGTCCTCGCTGCGACGGTGTCTAGTGAGCGTATCTATCGCGCGCTGGTGCTTTTGGCGTTTTGGAATGATGATTTGGTCGGGGGGTGCTCGGGTGAGGTTGCGAGACTGCTGAGGCCGTTGGATTATGTGCCTTTGGGTTTGGAGGCGAGGGCACGGCTCCAGGGTGAGATTTTCAGGTGTAAATGGTGTACTGTGGCGCGGGTGCTGGGACGGTTGCCGGAGATGATGGGGCTGAGTGTTCGGCGACACTGGTTCGATGCGGGGGTGGTCATGGTATCTGGGGAGGAGGAGAGGCTGAACCGGTTCCTGGCTCGTGAAGAGTCAGAGCATGGGAACGGGCATACTTTCACCGGCACAGTTAACGACACAATCCACACGCTCACCATCTCCCCACCAATCTCCATAACAATCACGGATACCGCGACAGACTCAGCGCAGACGCACCGCATCCTACGCATAACCGAGTTCCCAGTCCAACTACTCACCCGCCCGTCCTTCACCCCCGAAACAACGACGTACCTCGAATTCCTCCGTCTAGCCTCGGGACTCAACACATCCACCCTCCAGGAAACCTCTGTGTCGATATCGCGAGACGCGCTGCAAAAGGGCATCCGGACGGCGCTGCACACGCGCAACAAGGACGCGCTGGCCACGCTCCTCAAGCTGGACGAGTACTATTTCCGGGCCCAGAATACCGCTATCACGGCAACACAGAGCCCGGTTTACGGGCTCCCGGCGGAGCATTTCCGGGTCGCGGTGCGCGCGGACGATCCGGGATTGTTCCAGTTGCTTGTTAGGGCGAGTGCGGAGTCGGTGCCGGATGATTCGGAGATTACGGCGTGGGCGATGGAGCTGGATAGTGGGCTGGGGAGGTGGGTGTTGGATTTGTTGCTTCATTTACCGCAGAGGGTCGAGGCTGCGCGGGCGAATCCGGTCGAGGGGGCGGTGTTTTATATGGGCAGGGCGAATGCGCAGGTTGAGCTTGCCAGGCAGTATCTCAGTGAGGTGCTTGGGGTTGAGGAGTTGGGGAGTTGGATGGAGGAGAGTTCGCTTGATGTGCGGAGGTTGTGGAGAGATGTGTGATGTAACATTGTCAATCAAGTTCATTGCTCATTGGTTTATATTTATTATGTATTATATAGGTTGTACTGTACATACAGACAATGTCTGGGACATTTTCATGTTACACATGCTTACATGTTCGTCAGGAGCCGGATGATACCCTTGAATCTACCGGCGAGGGTCAATTGGTACCCGGTCTCCACGACACCCTTGCACATTTCCCATGCTCCTGTGCCGTTCTGGCGGTCGCCCTCTCCCTTGTAAATGGGGTAGTCTACGCGAGGGGGGATGCGAGTGGCCATTAGCCTGGGGAATCGGTCGACGCAGACGGACTTGAGGTTGCACACGCCGCGCAGTCCCTCTTCGCCTGCGAAGCGACCGTATCCGGATCCCTTGACACCGCCGAAAGGCAGCTGAACTGCGTAGTAGCTTCCGAAGTCGTTTACAGATACCATGCCCGCTTTAATGTTGGATACGCAGCTGGCGACGTCGATCCCATCGTAGCCGAAGACGCTGGCACCCAGGGCGTAGATGGTGGAGTTGGCGATGGCGATGGCGTGTGGCACGGAGTCTGCGCGCATGAGGAGGAACACTGGAGCGAACAACTCGGTCTGGGCTATCTGCATGGAGGGCGTTACGTCTGCAAGGAGAGTGGGCGCGAAGTAGTGGCCGTGGGGGTATTTGGGGTGGTTGTAGCGCTTTCCACCGCAGACTAGACGTGCGCCGTGGCGAACTGCGTCGTCGATTAGAGACTCGAGGCGGTCGAAAGAAGCCGGGGATATCACAGCGCCCATGTCTGGAGTGTCGGGTTTCTGTTGAGGGTCTACCGGTCTGGATTCAAGGAGAACCGAGCCAAGACGGAGTGCTTCGATGCGGGTAGACACTTCAGCTAGCAGCTTATCATACACCCCAGGAAGGGCAACGACACGCTCAACGCCGATACAGTTCTGTCCAGCGGACTGGAAGACACCGCGCATGAGGAGGGATGCAACAGATGAGACCTCGCTCACAGTTCTGGCATCGTCGAGAATCAAAGATGGATCCTTACCACCCAATTCCACGGTGACTGGGATCAGCGCCTTTGCTGCAGATTCACACACCTTGTGCGCCACAGGCTTGGACCCAATAAAGGTCAACTGAGAGATATCGGGGTGGGAAGTGAGAAAGTCCGCAACTTTGGGCAAGCACACAACACTCTGGACAAGATCGCGCGAGTGACCACAGGCTGAAAGAGCGCCTCTAACGACCTCAAGGAAGAACGCCGATGACCACGCAGTTTGCTCGGAGGGTTTCACGACGACACCGTTTCCTGCGAAGATACCACTGATGATGGGTCCGATGAAATTGTGGAAAGGGTAGTTCCATGAGACGCAAGCCGATACCACGCCCAGGGGCTCGTAAGTGACCATGTTCTTTTTGTACATCATCAAGAAATTCGTGGGTCTGGACTCGGGCGCCAATGCCTTTTCGCCGTGGTCGATTGTCCATTTCAGTTTCTCCGCTGTCACGAGGATTTCTCCGAACGATGCGTCGACTTTGGTCTTTCCGGAATCCAAGCAGCAAGCCGTGACAAGGTCATCCTGGTGGTCTAGCACATATCTGCCGGTTTATCAACCCCAATCCTTGAATAAAAGTTGATTATACTTCGGTAACGTACTTCAATAGCGTCTTCAGAACCTTTCTTCTGTCGGCAAAGCTAGTGCCGGACCATTCTACCTGGGCCTTTTTCGCAGCTTGTATGGCACGATCGACGTCCTCGGTCGTTGCAGGTTTGATTCCGTTGCCTAAGATACGGCCATCGGCAGGACAGTAGCTCATGATTACCTTGTCGCTCCATGACTATATCGCAAAAAAAGTCAAATTAGCTTATTGCAATCTTAAAACCCAACTGCGATGCAACAGTGTCGGGAGTACACTTACACCTCGCAATTGGCCCTCAAGGACCTTTTTCTCTTCCCCTTGTGCATCCTCCCACTTTTTCCCGGTCCAATTGGCCCGGACCTCAGGTGGAATCGGGACATTGAAAGTCACAGCCGCTTCCCTTTGTCCCAGAAGATAGACGCACCCCAGGTACACAGCAGCGACCGAAGCGAGCGCGACACTGATCCCGGCAATCTGATCGCGAAGTGTAAAAACGAGCGGAAGGAGAGCCGGAGGCACATATGGTGTCAGGGCCTCCATGTTGAAACCCGGACAGCAGCAATTGAAGTACAAGGCGCAATTGTTCAGAGGAATGTTGAGGATATGGGGCGAGGCGGCGGAGATGGCGCGGAAGTGGTTCGATTGTTTTATCGGAAACTCCGATATACGCACGTGCCAACTATGCCCCTATCGATTTCCATCTGTAACACAATAGGAAACACAGATATAGTCCGATATGAAATGTAGCATTTTGAAATTATTCTTTTTTTCCCTTTTTAGAAAAAAGAATACATCAATCGGATTGACATGATTATAGATTCAAAATGCAAAAAAGATGTCGTAAACGACCCACATGGGACTCGAACCCACAACCTTCGACTACTCCGCAGTTTGGAAACTCATGAGTAGGAAATCGACGCTCTACCATTGAGCCAATGGGCCGTCGTTGAAGATATGTATCTTAGATTGGTTTATAGCCAAATCACCATATCAGTGATACACAGGTAAGAGGTATCCAAACAGTTCGCATCACACATTCAATGAGAAATAATTGGGTGGATAATGGTGACATTGTAAATAAATTATGTTGACTTTCCAGAGAAAATGTTTGGAAGACCAAACGCTAAGGTTTCTTGTCTATTATACCTAAAAATGCCCACGCCATCAGGTGATGAACTGCAGTGAATATCTCAGAATAAATTTACTCTGAGCATTCAATATGATTTGATTATATTCTTCCTGGATATGTTCATTGAATTATGATAATAGCTTGTTTCAAATCCAGGTAACTGATGGCGACCTTTAGCACTCATTTGGTTGTTTTATTCTTTATCCTGCGTTGTCCATGGCTATGCCAACACCCGAGTAGCTGGACCACTCAGAGGCAGGGTTTATTCTAAGTCTGATGCTTACGCTGTGCTGATATTCTTCTAACTAGCAGTGACTATCTTAGATCTTACATATGCACTCAACTTAGCGATTCACCCAAATTCGACCTAGAAAGTTAGCGCCAAAATGAATGCCATGCTTCTGGTGAAGAGTAGAAACGAAGAGTCTAAGACACAGGGTAAGGCACTTCTTTGGCGATTACTTCTGGTACGACAGGATCATGTAAAGCTTTTCGATAGTACTGTCCCCATTTATATGATAGTTGATCCATGGTGGTGCACACTGATCAATGAATATTGGTACTAGTGTGTGCTCACTTTATATATAGAGCTCGGCACCCTGAATTCAGACTCCGCTTGTTGAAGTAACCTGTGGCCAGTACTTTTACAGAAACTTACATTTTGAATTATCCGGTAATTAGCAGATACTTCATTGAATCAACCAATATATATGCAGTGGCTGTATAATGCATTTTGCAAGTTGTGTGGTACGAAATTGCTACTAATAGTGGCCCGAGGGGGGTTGTAAACCGGTTCAATTTGGTTGCGAACCATTACAATTGAGTATGAATGGTTAATAATAATTATTAAATATTTTAAACTGGTTTCAGTTTATTTCTAACTATTTTTAACATGAAAAATTAGTGTTGAGGGCTGTAAATATTTATACAATCCTCACTACCAGCCCGGCCCCAGTATGGTATATATACTATGATGCTTTATATAATATATAAGTAATTGGGTATCCTCCCTGTACAAAACACATCCTAGTAAATCACCTATTTACGTACAAACAACAGAGTAGTGTGCCTTTTTACTAGTAGTACAATAGCAATGGATTAAAATGTGACATTCTTTCAAGTTATAGGTAGTAACATCTAATGAGACGCCGGATCTGGTGTTGGTGAAATTCAACTAACATGCACCTATGTGAAGGTGATACTAATACATAAGACAATAACTAACACAGTTCTAGATTTGACGATGTTCAAATACTCAGCATAACGATATCAGTAAGAGATTCAATACTTTGTGGCTCTGAAATTACAAATAGATCGAAGAACAGCTCAAATCATAATTCATCATACCCTTACGCTGCATTCAAACTGTCGTTTATTCCCTCGACTTCTTACCTCTAGGCGGCGGCGAGGCTGAAGTTCCCCCCTTCTTTTTCCCCGATCTTGTTACGAGATGATCAATCACACAGCCTTGATCCCACCCTGCAGATCCCTCTCCAGTGATCGCCCTGCACCTGGGACATGACTTGCCGTGCCATATGAAGAGCTGGTGAAGGGAATATTTGAGATGATCCGGGATTCGAACTTCGAGATGACTATATGCTGTAACCTCCGTCACTTTCGTGGGGGGAACCCAGCCGAGCCACTTGCATATCCTGAAGATATGTGTGTCGACAGCAAAGCATGGCCGCTGGAGGCAGAAAAGTAGAACGCAAGCAGCCGTTTTGGGGCCTATGCCCGGATACTTGGTCAGCTCAACCATCGCTTCCTTCGTGTCGAGATCATGGAGGTGATTGAGGGACAAAACTCCCTTTTCCCCATTCTCCTTATAAACCTCGTCAAGAATAGCCTTGATATTCTTGCTTTTTATATTCGCAAGTCCGCCACTTTTGATGGCATCGAAGATGTCCTCGACAGACGCTTGGCGGACTGCATTCCAGTCTACGCTGCCCTTCCCAATCCCATCTTGAAGGATTCCAAACTTCTGCACCAGCCCGTCAAAAGCTAGTGCCGAATTGTTTCCGCTGGTCGCACCGCTCAGTAGTGTTCGGACGAGGGCATCCAGAACAGTTGGAACTTCTCCGCACCCTGTAACGGTAAGCGATGGCGCGGGAATGGTTGCCGGACGGTCAGCTGGCCCATGCACACTGCTTAGAAGGCTAGCGACCTCCTCACATTCCTCTGGAGTGGGTCGGAGCCATTCTGGAAAAGGCGTTGTGCCTGGGTTAAGACCATATCGGCTGGGGCTTTTGCCTTTCGAGGTGGATGACTGCGACGGTGGAGTTATGGTACTAGTTTTGTTGACAGTCCTTTGAATGTCTAGGGCGAGCTTATCCACTTTCTCCTCTGGTTGGAGAAGACCAGTGTATGTTCCTAGATTATGTGGAAATTCACCAGCAGGTTCAATTTTTCGCCGCTTTGGTGTGGATCTGCTGTTGTTATTTTTGTTTGAACTCGGCGAATCTTCTGACAAGCCATTTTCTAGATCGCTGGATGCTCTCTTAACCGAAGAATCCTTGGCTTGTTGAAGTGAGTTTGCAAGCAGAGCAGCCTGCTTAGCAGCTCTAGATCGTGTAATGCGGGGTTCCATGTCAAGATCGTCTTCAAGAACAATGATACTAGATTCCAAATAGCATCAGTGAGTCATCACATGTACAGGCTTCCCACAGCTCTTAATTAGTAAAATTTAACCTCACAGAAGATGAGAACTCAAGACAACTGAAGTTAGCAATAAAATGGGCCTTTGCCACAGTACCAGGGCTTACAAAATGGATCTTCGCGAGGTGGCAAGGGATGCACTACACTGCAAATGCGACAATCACTGACTCCATGGATGGCTAAGAATCATGGCATGCACGTGACCTACATTCATGTCTAGTTCATGACTGTGCATGGTAATAACTTTCAATGTTGTTCATCATAAGTCTATTGATCATGCGTACTAAAACAAAAAGAGTATTCGGATCCTCACGAGGCAAGAACGATCACCAATCCTATAGCCTCCCGTTCTTTTTTCTCTACCACATAAGAACTCCATGACTCCAGGTGGTGAAATATGCCAGAAAATTTCTCATATGTCCATAAACTCATAAATCCATTAAGGGTGATCGCCCATGTTGTGGATGCTAATATCCATGCGATCTTTGACCTTGGGAGGCTCCTCCTGTTTTCCCGCTGTGTATAGGCTTCGCTTCAGCACCTCGGATTCCCCTGGGTTCGGGGCAGCAATTATATTGCCACTGCCATCCAGCTTGACACCGTTGGCAGCAATCTGGAAATCCTTCTCACTTGCAAATCCATGGGTGACAGCTTCCTTGGCACGATCCACAGCTTTGATCTTACGACCTTCGCCTCTGAGCTGTTCCAGATGGTCGAAATAGCCCTCTGAAACAGGGGTAACGTAGTTACCACAGAAGACACCAACTTCGAAGTTTTGTGGTTCAGCAAGTCCGTTATCCTTGGCAATTTCAGCGCAGGCACCCTTCAAGTCTGGCAAAGTCTGGTAGATGACATTGTCGGCACCAATGTGCTGGGCGATCAACTTGGCATTACGATTATGCGCAACCAGCTCAGTGGGCGAAGCCAGATCGATACCATAGATGTGAGCATGTCTATTTATATGGTTAGTAACCTTCCAGATCCAGGAAGAAGGTATGGTCGACTTACGTGATTTCAGGCGCGCAACTCGCGAAGTAAACCTTCTTAGCGCCAGCCTCACGTGCCATAGTCACAATTTCCCGACTGGTAGTTCCACGCACGATACTATCATCAACCAACAGGACATTTCGGTCCTTGAACTCGGTTTGCATAGCGTTGAGCTTGCGGCGGACACCTTTCTGTCGGGTCTTCTGCTCAGGCATAATGAAGGTTCGGAAAACGTAGCGGTTCTTTACGAAACCTTGACAATACGGAACATCCAAATACCGAGCAACAGCCGCTGCCGACGTTGTGGATGTTTCCGGAATTGGGATGACAACATCGATGTCTTTGACCACTTCCGGTCCAAGAACATCGAGGATACGGGCAGCGAGCCGATCACCCATCCGTTGACGGCTACGGTACACGCTGATGCCATCGATTACAGAGTCAGGGCGGGCGAAGTAGACATACTCGAAGATATCCGGAGCATATGCCTTCTTCGGTGCAACCTGACGGAAGACCGGCTCGCAACCCTTTTCAATGACGACCGCCTCACCAGGTTGGATGTCACGGAAGTTCGAGAATCCAAGCTGGTGAAGGGCAACTGACTCAGAAGCCATCATGTAATCGGTTCCCTCACCCTCAGCAGAGGGTCTGGAACCAAGGACCAAGGGGCGGATGCCATAGGAGTCGCGGAAGCCCAGGATGCCAAAGCCTGTTAAATTAGCATCTTGTGTACTCGACCGAGAGCCTGAAGGATACCTACCAGCAAGCATAGCCGTGCAAGCCCAACCACCTTCGCATCTCTCATACATCCGGCTCAGACTGGCAAAGAGATCATCCTTGTTGACACGCGCCTTCTTGGTCTCGCTCAACTCATCAGCGAAGACGTTGAGCATCAATTCACTGTCACTATCGGTGTTGATATGACGGTGAGCCTCGAAGTCGAGGTATCTCTTGAGCTCAGGAGCATTAATCAGGTTACCATTGTGGGCCAAACAGATACCATACGGACTGTTGACGTAAAATGGCTGTGCTTCAGCGTTCGCACTGCTCCCGGCTGTAGGGTACCGCAAGTGACCAATACCCATAGGACCCGGAAGATCCGCCACCCTAGCGCCGTCCTGGAAAACCTTGGCCGCCATACCGTTTGACTTCAACTGATAGATCCGACCTC